TACTGACAACTATTTCCTCACAATATAATAATAATCCCTCTCAAGAATAAGATGAAAAGAAATAAACTTGTAAGCTTGGAGAGAGCAATAAACAATGGAGACTTTGAACAAATGAGGATTGAAGAATGTATGTAAGTTGTGTATGTTAAAAATGTGGGGAAGATGAGTTTATATAGAGGAGAAAAGTGGCAAAATGTAGGATTGAATATTGACCATTGGATTGTGTTAGGAATAATGGAAGGTGGAGATTAAAAGTAATTAAGTAAGAAAATTTTCTAAATTCATTTATTTCAAAATTTTAATATAATAGTAATATAATATAATAATAATAAAAAGTTATGTGAGTAACGGTAAAATGTAATTCAAAATTTATTATAAATATAATAATATAATAATAATAAAAATGATGTGAGTAACTACCAAAATTTTAAAATATAATAATATAATAATATAATATAGTAATAATAAAATTCGATGTGAGTAACGGTTATATTCAAATTTATATTTGTAAAAATAATTTTATTTAGAAATGTAATAATAAGAAAAACTCCACCATGTGTTACTCTTCCAATATTATAAATGTCATACTTTGATATATTTTGATTTGTCCATCATTTTGATTTTGTTGCCACATCATCACGTCGGGTATGTTGTCTCGACTCTAATTTCTTCGTTTTAGCTCTGATTTGAGTAATTGAAAAGTTGTTGTAATCGTTATTCCCGACCTTATACTGTGGACAGTTCAAAAAACTGAAAATAGTTAATAATTAAAAGTAGGTTTGTTATCATCAAAACATCAATAATTAATTCATTGAAATTAATTAATGTGAGATCAAGGGCCAATAAGCCAACAACAAGTAATTAATATTTATTTAAAGATTAATTTGAGAAACGTCCTATATATTCAATTGTAACCTACCGCTCGAACAATCCTAAATCAGGTTACCGATAGTCTAAAAAATTAATATATTATAAGTTTCATCCTATTTCAAACCCAACCCAATAAAAAACTCAGAGGTTTGACTTTGATGCACTTAAAGTCAACATATTTCACGAACATGTTATATTTCAATTTGTTTTAAAAAAGTATTTTCCTTAAGACTCCGAATACAATATTTTTATTACGTTTTTTTTTTAAAAAAAAATTCTCTCTACGTGTTTTTTTTTTTTTTTTTCACGAACATGCATATAAATCCGACATGGTTTATTATATGTAGGATGAGTCATAACTTTAGTTCGGGATTTAAAATTTTGTACTAAAATTGTAATTTAACTTCTATTTAAAGTTGAAATCTTGATACTCTAAAAGGGGAAATAAATCTATTAATTTTGTGTAAATCAATGAATAGTGGGTGGACTAATAGTTGAAGCCTTCCATAATGGTTGGCCAAGAAAAAAACATGTCCAAATTGTGGTTGACCTCGGATTATTCAACCTAATAAATATATTATCAAGTAGGTTTCGAAGCTCAGAAAGTCGTGCACGAGACTACTTCGATGTTGAGTCGAGGAATGCGAACCAGCTGAAAATGGTAGACCTACGAAGTCACTTGAGAAATACTTTGAATTCATTGTTTTCGAGTCACCAACTGAACTCGCTTTAAGTGAAAGACAATATCTCTGTATCGAAATAAAAAACACAGGTTGTTAGGTCTATGTTCGATCTCTGACAATTTTAATAAAAAAAAAAATTTGTTTTAATTTAGAGTTTAGGGTTTAGGTTAAAATCTTCCCCCTTCCCATCTAAAGTCACTTCAATTCTTCATATACCAAATTCCCAACGTACGTGCAGTCCATTGAACCAATCAGAACTCGAGTTCCCACGTGCCAACCAACAACTGTTCTCTTAAATCGAAACGTGTAATTTTCAAACCAAAATAGTCAACTCTCTACAAAATCGTAGACTGCCAAGTCAGCATTCCCAATGCCAACTATAAAAACCCTCCCATTGTCCCAATTTCACCAAGAGTCTCTGCTATGACCTGGACACGACTCGCCGCCGTCGGCCACGGCTCCTCCGCCACCGTCTACCTCGCCTCCGCCGCCCCTTCCGGAGACGTTTTTGCTGTCAAGTCCGCCGAGCTTCCCGAATCGGAGTTCTTGAAAACAGAGCAGAGGATTCTTTCTTCTTTGTCCCACCCTTCCATTGTGAGCTACAGGGGATTCGATGTAACGAGAGAGAATGGGAAGCTGATGTATAATCTCTTCATGGAGTACGCCACCGGCGGCACACTCGCCGACGAAATTCTCCGGTGCGACGGCTGGATTAAAGAGACGGCGGCGGGATTCTACACGCGTCAAATTGTGAAAGGATTGGAGTATTTGCACAAAAGGGGTTTGGTGCATTGCGATATTAAAGCTAAGAATATTTTAATCGGGGAAGATGGTTTGAAGATTACGGATTTCGGATGCTCGAAATGGGTTAATGAACCGGCGGCTATCGGTGGAACGCCCATGTTCATGGCGCCGGAAGTAGCACGTGGGGAAAAACAGGGGATTTCCTCTGACATTTGGTCACTTGGGTGTACTTTAATCGAAATGGTCAATGGTGCTCCACCGTGGCCAACCGACGGCGACCCAGTTTCAGTGCTGTACCGGATAGGATATTCCGGCGAGTCGCCGGAAATTCCAAGCTTTCTATCGGAGAAAGCGAAGGATTTTCTGGGAAAATGCTTGAGAAGAAACCCAACAGAACGCTGGAGCGCGAGCCAGCTTCTTGAACATCCATTTTTAGAGGACACGAATTCTGAGTGGTTCGAGGAATCCAAGGAATTAGATTCAAATTCTCCGACAAGTATCTTGGATCAAGGCGTTTGGAATTCCCAAAGTGAGCTGAAAACAGAGGAATGGGACGACGACAGAATCAGACGGCTGTCGATGTTCCGGTGGGAAATCAAGTGGGAATCGGACGGTGAGAATTGGATGACGATCAGAGGAAGGTGCGTGGACGGTGAAGATGAGGCGGAATCCATTAGTGGGCAAACCAAAAGCTTGGAATTGTTTGATAGAACAGTTAGGTTTAGAGTAAGTGATGATGTAATTAGTGATCTTGTTTCATTAATTAGTTGAGTTTGGTAGATTTTGAGGAATACCCACATTAACATACGACATAATGATTTAATCTAAATCTTTAATACCATAAAAAGAATGAAACTTGGGTGCTAGGAGCTCTTCATAACTCCTAATAAAGGGGAATGAATTTGCTTTGGTCCCTATTTATGAGTATGGAGTAAAGGGTAAGTAACCAAAAGTTGAACAAAGCCTTCTTTGTTGATTTGCAAAAAGGACATGTTTTAGTTAACGAACATGAAGTGGGTTTGCCCTATTATGTATTGTCGTCGGCTTCACGGTTTTAAAATGCGTCTACAAGGGAGAGATTATCGCACATTTATAGGAATCTTTCCTTCTCTTCAACTAATGTGTGATCTCACAATCCAACTCTCTTGAGGGCCCAGCGTTCTTGCTGACACACTGTATGGTGTTTGGCTCTAATACTTTATGTATCAGTTCAAGTCCACCGTTACGTATCGTCGTTAGCTACGCAGTTTAAAAATGTGTCTACTAGAGAGAGGTTTTTGCACCCCTCCACCCCACATGCATTCGAGGAAAATGATTGAGAGATTACCAGCATAGAATTGGTTCAAGTAAAATACACCGAGTTATTATGATTGAGCTTTGATTCAAATGAGAGAAAAACACGTGCAGGTTTTTAGGATTGGGCCGATGAGCCTGATATGGGCTTTTATAATATAGTTTTGTTTGGGCTGGTACGATCCAGCCCAACCCAACTATTCTTGTATGAGTTTCAAAGGGGAATCCACATTTGGTGATGTTTCCTACAAGACAACAAGCCTTCCCATTTATATCTAGAGTGATTAAATTATCCACTTTTTTAAGTTAATTTTATGATTTTAATTAACCGTCGACATTTGTAAAATGTTCGTGTAACAGCTCAAGCTCATTTTTAGTAGATATTGTCTGTTTTGACTCGTTACGTATCATTGTTAATCTCACGACTTTAAAACACGCATGTTAGAGAGAGGTTTCCACATCCTTATAACGAATGATTGGTTCCCTTCTTCAATCGATGTGGGATCTCACTATGTGTGGAAACCTCTCCCTAACATACACGTTTTAAAATTGTTACCAAAACGAACAATATTTACTAACGGTGAACTTGAGTTGTTACAAATGGTATCATAGTCAAACACTGGACAGTGCACCATCCAAGACACTAGGCCTCCGAAGGAAATGGATTGTGAGATCTCACATTAGTTGGAGAGAGGAACAAGACATTCTTTATAATAGTGTACATTTTCCATGTGTTTTAAAATCGGGAGGCTGACAACATAATTGACCAAAATGAACAATTTCGATTAGAAATGGATTTGAGTTGTTATAGTTTGCGTAAACTTACATGCAGTTTGACTATTTTTAAGAATAATTGTTTTGTCTAACTATATCTAATCGTTAAAAACTTGATCAGATTTCAATATCCTTATTACATTACGTATACCAATGGTTTTAGGTTAAGAAATTGTTTCGAATTAATCTTGCTCGTGGATTTTACTATGTTTAGCGTTTAGAAAAATAAAACGATAACTTAATTTATAGAAAGCCACCTTTCAAGTTACTTTAACTCGAAGATTTCATTAATAATAGCATTCGATATTGACTTTATTTAAATGTTCTTTGCATCCAACCCAAAACATGAATTATAAAATTCATTTCCCTTTGACCAAAATCGACAACATTTTAGCAGGTAAAACGATAATGTCACATCATCAAATCAGCAAGAGTAGATTATATTATTTAAAAACCGGCGTAGTTCATATCATCTTTATCCTCTTTTGAACGATTATAATATTTATCACATTTGACCGTCGTAGATCTCGATATTATATTTAATATCATTAATATACACGAATAAAGATTATATTATTCAACCTTCATCACTATGGCAGAAACAAATTACAAAATGAGTGGAATGACAATCCATTTCTAAAAATATTCACGACATCTGATATGTTATGAACCTAAACGAACCCTCATACCCTCATGGCTCAGCACCGCTACTATCGGAACTAATCTCGGGCGAGCTCATCGGAATCATTGAATTCGTTCTCAAAACGGTAAGAATCATCAAAAAGAGAGACACGAAAAGGGAGAGAAGAGCGAGAAGAAGAGCACAAACATGAGCAGCTTCAACTCCAACTTCTTTAGCATATTCATTACAAGCCAAAGCAAGCAATGAAAGAGGAAAAGAATAAGACCACCACGCCACAGTGAATTTCCTCATACATTTTCTAAAAAGCATTGGCCTTGAAATAAGAGACACAAACAAAAAAACCGAAACAAAAAACAAAATCTTTGAAAATGTATCGAATCTTTTAGTGATTGAGCTCCAAGCCAAGCTCGCCATGCTTGGAACAGCGAAGAACAAGAAGAACACTGGCCGTAAAATGGCTGGCAGGCTGTTACTTCCGGCTAATCTTTGGTAAAGCGTCACAAAAAGCACCAAATAATGTGACATTCCGAGAGAAAACATGCATAATGATGTCTCCCGCCACCCCATCACGGCCAACGTCCGAGCTCCGGCCAAATTACCGATGACAGAAAGCTGGCTGGTCGGATTAGCAACGGTGGATAAAAATCTCTTTCCTTTTATGAACCATTGGCCGTAGATTTTGACATCCAATATAACAATTGGAATTAAAAACACCCACATGAGAATTTCGTAAGGAAATGTCTTAAATGGTGAGGATTGAAGCAAAAGAAGCCAAGAAATCCAAGGGGCAAAAAGGTAATTTACTCCCACTCTATGCAAGAACTCAAATTTCACTAATTTGAAATGGAAAAAGCATCTTAGAATGTAAATTAAGGAAAGGGATACCAAAATTAAGAGAGCTAATGACCATAACACCAAGAAAGCTGAATTGGGTAGCAATCGAAGGATCTTTCTAAGAGAATTTTCGTTTTGGATTGGTTGTTTGAGGATCTTCCATAACAAGGCTTGCCCACAAAGGGACATGCTGATTCTGAAGTAGCCTGCATGGAATTTGGCTAAGAATTGGAGGAAAAAGGATGGGTTTTTGGATTGATTTTCATCCATTTCCATGTTTTTTTGTGATGGGTTTGAAGAGATTTGATGAAAGTTTGAAGCTTTGTGAATGGTTGTTATATAGTGATTTTAAAAATAGGTGTTGCGTGAGTTGTGGTTTTGAGGTAGCCAATTTGGACTTTGTGAGCTCAAGAATCATTTACAGCTAGGTTTGATTCAATTCAACTAGTTGTACGGAGGATCGTACGCTTGAAAAAATTGTCTTGAGATCCGTTATCATTCTCTCTATAAACTAATCTCTCTAACTATCTCAAATACTTATTTAATCCGGAAGATTGGGCTTTGTGAAGATGTATAATAAGGTAAGAAATCTCTACGAAAAACGAGGTATGGAGCAATGAGAGGTTCTCCCGATTAGTTAATCAAGGTTAGTGTAACAGTCCAAGATCAAAGAACATATTGTCCTCTTTGGAGTTTCTCTTTCTGGCTTCTCCTCACGGTTTTAAAACGTGTTTATACCTCTTATAAAGGGTGTTTCGTTCTCCTACTCAACCAATAGGGGATATCACAGTTAGAGAAGGTAATTACATTCTTCGTCCCCGACCCTGTTTTTGTTCCCATTGCTAACCATTATGGGCATTATCACATTCTGAACCCCATGAGAAAAACATCATAAATATTTGTCTTCTTTTTTTTTCTTTCACAATTTTTTATTATATCTATTTTTGAGAATACATCATTATATAGCTAAGAATTTTGGACATGATTTACATTACCTACCCTTTAAAAATCTCCATTCATTTGTTCCCTTTTCAAAATTTTATGTTATTTTTTTCTACATATAAAAACAATGAAGATATAAATTTATGTTATTATATATATATATGATGGATGAAAAGATAAGAACCCTAATTTCTTGACTACTAAGTTTATGAGTTTGAAAAATGAGAAGTCAAATTGTAGTTATTAAAAGGAGAAAAAACCCCGCCGCCGCCTTACAAATCTAGAACAAAATGTTGCTATCAGATACGAAGAATGAGTGGGATTTGCAGGCTTTTTCACATTTTTAAGTTACCTTTTTAAGGGGTCGTACTATAAGTAACATTTTGTTTCTCTCTTAAAAGAGTGGACTTTGAGATCTCACATCGAGAGAGGGAAAGGAAACAAGCTGTGGAAACCTCTCCTTAGCATAAACATTTTAAACTTTGAGAGAAGCCCAAGGAAAAGTTCAAAGAGGATAATGTCTGTAAGTCACCGTGTGGTGTGCCAACTAGGACGCTACATCCCTAAGGGGTTGGATTGACGCTAGGTCTTCAATGAGATGGATTGAGAGATCCTATGTTGGTTGGAGAGGAAAAAACGAACCATTTTTTTATAAGGGTGTAGAAACTTCTCGAGCATATGTGAAGCATTCTTGATAAGGGTTATGAGGGAAAATAAAAAGGGTGGGGAAGGAACGAAGCATTCTATGTGAAAAGTGAAAACCTCCTCCTAGTATAAGCATTTTGAAACAATTTGACGGACAAATCAAAATTAATATCTTGCCACTACTTTAAATATATTTTCGATACTCTCTCCACTATTTTTCATTTTAACGGGTTTTCTCCACTTTACTCGAGGCGGGTCTTTGACATTGAAAGTTAAATGGACATCTCTAATTGTAAAACACGGTTCTCTTAGATTAAATATAGACAAATGTATCGGTCAAATTTATTAGGTTATTATTAGGTCAAATTTACGTTCAATACTGTAATAGATTTCAATTTCATGGATGGTTTTGAAACATTTATGAAAATATATAGATAATATTACTATAATACTCTTTCACACTTTAAACTCACTTGTAATACTAATGTAAGTTTTGTAAACATAATTGTAAGAAATGGAAATTTGAATTCTGATTTGGTAAGTGATGGGTACATAAGATAATATATGGGTATTACTCATATTAATTACTTGCTAGGGTTTTAACGACCACCACCACCTCCACCACCGGACCCAGAGCCGACACCGACGCCGCGACCTGATCCGCTACCAACTCCTATTCCAATCCCTATTCCTATTCCAAATCCTCCTCCGTGACCACCACCGCCGCCATGCCCTAAACCTCCTCCGGATCCAGCTCCTCCACCGGCTCCAAATCCACCTCCATGACCTGAACCTCCGCCTAGACCACCACCACCACCGCCTCCGCCTCCACCTCCGCCTCCTCCTCCGCCAGCCCCACTACCTACACCTCCACCAACTCCAAAGCCTCCACCATGGCCTGACCCACCACCACTTCCTCCGCCACCTCCTCCACCACCACCACCGCCTCCGCCAGCCCCACTACCCACACCTCCACCAGCTCCAAAGCCTCCACCATGGCCCGACCCACTGCCACTTCCTCCTCCACCTCCTCCTCCGCCTCCGCCTCCGCCTCCGCCAGCGCCACTACCTATACCTCCACCAGCTCCAAAGCCTCCACCATGGCCAGACCCACCACCATTTCCGCCACCGCCACCTCCTCCACCGCCACCACCTCCGCCGCCTCCTCCTGCACCTCCACCAACGCCACCTCCAGCTCCAAACCCTCCACCATGTCCAGAACCACCTCCTCCTCCAAAACCGCCGCCTCCACCAACACCACCACCTACTCCACCGTCACCTCCAAGCCCTCCACCCGATCCACCCCCTCTACCACCACCAAACCCACCTCCTCTACCGCCTCCAAAACCACCTCCCCTACCATATCGCGGTCCACGACCTCCATATCTGCCACCGCAACGTCGGCCCCAACAATCATCATCCCTAAACCTACTCTTTTCAAGCTTCTTATCAGCAAGAGCAAGAGCACTCAAATGGAGCACAATGCAAATTACAAGAAAACCAAGAGAAACCCATTTTGGAGAGCCACCCATGGCTACCTACCTACCTTATTTCTTCACCAAAATACGCTTTTACCTTGCCTTTCGAAGCTCACAAGTCTAAGCATATATATAGGCTTCACTTTCACTCCATTGGAGGGTTGGCTCTCGTTCATGAGACGCGTTGGGGCGTTGGGAGTTGGCTGAGATCATTTAATGACATATTTGCAAGTCAAAAGCACATCCAAAATCTTATCTATTTTCGGATGAAGATGATGAAGTCCACCGCACACATATTGTCTTCTTTGGACTTTTAAAATGCTAGGAAGAGGTTTTCACATCCTTAGCAGAGTCTTTGTTGGCACATCATCCAGTGTCTAACTATTATATCATTTGTAATGACACAAGCGCTAACTAATATTGTTCTCTTTGGGCTTTCCATTTCGAGCTTCCTCTCAAGGCTAGGCTTTATCTTATACCATTTGTAACGGCCCAAGCTCACCGCTAACAGATATGGTTCTCTTTGAGCTTTCCCTTTCAAGTTTCCTCTCAAAGCTTTAAAACCCCGTTGTTTTTAGCAGATATTGTCCTATTTGGGCTTTCCCTTTCGGGTTTTCCCTCACGGCTTTAAAACCCGTTTTTGTTAGGGAGAGATTTCCCACCCTTTCCGATGTGGGATTTCTAAATCCACACCCTTTAGGATCCAGCGTCCTTCCTGACACATTGCCTCGTGTCTACCCCTTCGGAGAATAACTTCCTCACGGGCACATTGTCCGGTGTTTGGCTCTGATAACATTTATAACAGCGCAAGCCCACTGCTAGCACATATTGTCATCTTTTCATTATCAAACTTTCCCTCAAGGCTTTAAAATTCATATGGCAAGGAGAGGTGTTTCGTCCTCTTCCAACAACAGACGTGGGATTTCATATAAGCATTGCTATTCTAATATCCCATCAGCATCATATTTCGTCGGCAATGGGCAGCAACGACCGTGTCAACCGCACCAGCCCGGTGTGGCAGTTGAGGCCATCGTACAATAAATGAAGAACACTCACTAAAAGCTATTCAAGACTTTGCCTTTGCAACTTGCATGCATGAATTGACCTAAAAAAAAGCCCATATTTATTTATATCGCTATCGATTAATCACACCCTGTGCTCTTCCAATCAACTTGGCTGATTATTTAGCCTCATTTCCACGTTATGTAGAACAAAAACTGATGATCATCACGAGAACACTGAAATGGCTTATTCTTCGGTTTAACCCAGCGATCGGGAAAGGCTAGGTAGCTAGCGCTCTTGTGATTGCTCACTGGCTCACTAAACGATTTCCCTCACTCTCAAGCTACTCTAATAAGATTGTTTTCAACATTTCTCCAGTAACGCTCCCAGATTGATTGCTATTGTTTTCTTACTCTGTGTACATTTCTCAAGTATATTGTTCCCACCGCTAACAAATATTGTTCTTTTTGGCCATTATGTATCACCGTCAACCTCACAGTTTTAAATTGCGTCTACTAAAAGAAGTTCCCACACCCTTAATAGGAATGTTTCGTTTCTTCCTCCAACCGATGTGGAATCTCACAATCTACCCCTTTGGAGTCCCAACATCCTCGCTGACACACCGGCTCTGATACAATTTGTAAAATCTCAAGCCTGCCGTTAGTAGATATAATCCGCTTTGGCCCGTTATGTATCACTGTCAGCCTCACAATTTTAGAACGTGTTTGTTGGGGAAAAGTTTTCACACTCTTATAAGAAATGCTTTGTTCCTTTCTCCAACCAATATGGAATCTATATACTAACGAAAATATCATCTCCGGCTTATATATTAATTATCAGACAATATCATACAATTGATAGAGCAATATATTGTATTCAATCTCTCAAAGATGAGTACTAAACTTGCACAACAAAGAGAAACGAGCAAGAATCAAAGCAATACACTGGTGAGCCAAAAAATGTTGAAACAGATACTCATAGACAGAACAAACGACGTAAAAACGACCGAGCTTTCGCGTTGAAGTATAGACTAACATGTTTGACCGAAAATCACCTAAATCTTTGATGGGATTGATTGCTGACATGAACTCTTGTTGCTTTATAGAGGTCCGAGTGTTAGAGACCGACTGCTCGACCGCATTTAAGAGCATTGCTCGGTATTGGATATTCGTCTCGCCACGAATTCACCGGCGAATATACACGAAGATACAGCTGCTGTCCCAAGTACTGGCGAACCCAATTCTCAGACCTTATATTCCACATTCCCACGTTGTCCAAAGGCATGTAAACTGCAGTCCATGACTTTGGATACACCTATAGTTCATAAAAAAAATGTGTTAGAATCAAACATACCCCGGATCTCGAATGGAGCCGAATCAAGACGTTCGATATTCTAATCATGATATCGAAGCCGATCAGTGACAAACTAGGCTGCTACCTGAACGGTACATCGAGAGATCGTGTCTCGTAAATTGTAAGTCAATCTGCTGGCTGGTGTCCATTCTCCTCCATCCATCCTGTTGCACAAATAATGGAATCTTGAAAATAGGATTAGCATTGAAATATATGAACCAAATTGGCTTAAGAAATCGGGTTTTCAATGAAGTTGGATTATGAACATAAAAAAAAAAAAAACGTACCCCACGACAAAGAAGTTGTGTCCATCGACGTGCCATGACTGCTCGGTATCTTCGGGATTCTCAAATACAACCTCAGCGTAGCCTCGAAAATCAGCAGCCATGACAGAAGTCTGAAGGTAGGCACCACTACCAGTGGGATAGTCAGGGATACTTCCAAGAGAGAACACACCAGAGATCTTGTAATAGTCAGCAAGTTTGAGAGGAGTATCAGCTGGAATGAAGGACGCACTGTTGACAGCATATCTTTGCTTGCCATTGATGATTGGAGCAGTGCTTTGAAGCCTTATTGTATGAGTAACATTGATTAATCCGTAATGATAAGAACCTTGGGGATTCGGTCTTGGACCGTTTGCTGTCAGATTACGCCTGGTTTGATTAAGGACAAGTCAGAGTAAGTATGGCACAACAAAGTAGAAGTGTAACTGCCTAAGTCCACCGCTAATAAATATTGTCCTCTTTAGGCTTTCCCTTCCAGACTTTCCCTTAAGATTTTAAAACGCGTCTACTAGGGAGAGGATTCTACATTCTTATAAGGAATGCTTCGTTCCCCTTGTGGGATCTCATAATCCGCCCTCCTTGGAGACCCAATGTCCTCACTGACACACCGCTTGGTGCCGGGCTTTGATACTATTTGTAACAGCTCAAGTCCACTGCTGTAGATATTATCCTCTTTGGGCTTTTCATTTTGGGTTTTCCCCAAGATTTTAAAATGCGTCTACTAAGAAAGCAACTGCTTCCTTGTTCCTTTTTCCTTCTTGTCAATTGTCAAAAGAGTGAATTTTTCAGTCCAATTAGCTACCACATTGAAAGCTAGAAAGAAAAATCTTTGAATCCTTCATTCAAGAATGCAAATTTCATAAAAACAGAACAAAACATCTAATTTGAGAAAACTAATGAAGCAGCATACATCAAAGCTTACTACAACAATGTAATGGAGACAATATTAAAACAGAGGCAGATACCTGAGAGACCGGGCCTGTTCAAGTGACCAATCAGTTTGAATTGTCGGTCCACCGGGAGGAGGTCCAGAGACACTAGCTGCTGCATTACTGTAATGAAGAGTGGAGGTGGTTGTGAGAATTTGGGACGTAAAACGCGTAGATACGACAATGTAGTAATCTTGTGGCGGCTGGTCAGCTGTAACCAAGACAGAGTAGGATTGCCCAAGATGAATATCAAGGGATTCATAAGTGTTCTGGAGGGTATGAGTTCCTTCAACCTCAACCAGAAGCATTTTGTGGCCTTGTATTCTGAAATTAATTGCAGTTGTAAGCCCCACATTCGATATCCGAAACCTGTAAGTCTTGCCTGCAAGACAATTTATGGAACAGTTAGTATGAGATAGCACATCGGTTGGAGAGGAGAACGAAACATTCTTATAAAGGTGTGGAAAGCTCTCCCTAGCACTCGTATTTTAAAAACCTTGAAGGGAAGCCCGAAAGAAAAAGCCTAAAGAGAACAATATCTGCTAGCGGTGGGTTTGAGTTATTACAAATGGTATCATGGTCAGACACCAAGCGATGTGCCAACGAGGAGGCTGAGCTCTGAAGGGGGTGGACAGAAGGCGGTATGCCAGCAAGGACGCTTGGCCCCGAAGGGGGGGTGGATTGGGGAGTTCCACATCGATTGGAGAAGAGAACGAGTGCCAGCAAGGACACTGGGCCCCGAAGGGGAGTGGATTGTGAGATCCCATATCGGTTGGGAAGGAGAACGAAACATTATTTATAAGGGAGTGAAAACCTCTTCCTAGAAAACACGTTTTAAAAACCTTGGGCGAAAGCTCAAAGAGGACAATATCCACCCGCTTGGGCTGTTATAGTTAACCATTACCATGTTTATATTCTTAATAACAATGTACCTTGTTCAACAGTGAAAGTGTTTCCATTTGGACCACGACCATTGATGAGAAGTCCATCAGGGAAAGGAAGATCACTACCACCATCTAAAATGGCTCTCAAATCCTGCAAGCATATGTTCAAACAGCCATTGAAAAAGACATTCCAGCATAACCTTCAAACTGTTTAATCAGGAAACAAAGCTTACAGTGTGGTTTTTTGAGTACCAATCGCCAGCCAGAACAGTAAATTCTCCAGCAGGAGTAGTAAATGGGACAGGAATTATAGAACGGCTATGAATTTTGAAGCCACCAAAGGCACCAGCAGCCTTGTGGAAGGCCAAAGAAGGGAAGTAGAAGTAGCTACCAATCTGATCTTTCACTTGCAGAACATAAGTGAAATTCTTCCCCGGTGGGATGGGGCAGTTCGTGCCATAAACTCCATCCTGCCAAGAGTTTCTTCTCTGTTGAATCCCATTCCTATTCAGTTTACACAGAATACCAAGTAAAGATAAAGGTCTAAACAAAAAAAAAAAGAAAAAAAGAAAAAAAAGAAGTAGCTACCAATTTGTTATCTGCTTTGGCCCGTTACGTATCACCATCAGCCTCACATTTTTAAAACGCGTCTACTAGGGAGAGGTTTCCACACCCTTATAAGGAATGCTTCGTTCTCCTCTCCAACTGATGTGAGATCTCACAATCCACCCCCCTTGGGGCCCAGTGTCCTCGCTGGCACACCGCTCGATGTCTAGCTCTTATAGCATCTGTAACAATTCAAGCCCACTGTTAGTAGATATGGTCTGTTTTGGGCCATTACGTATCGCCGTCAACCTCACATTTTTAAAATGCGTCGGCTAGAAAGAGGTTTCACATCTTTAAAAGGAATGTTTCGTTATCTTCTCCAATCGATACGAGATCTCACAAAAGGTAATTAGGACGAGAATGTTCAAACCCAAAGTCACAAACGTCCAGAACTAAGCAACTTTAACTTTGGGAAAACCAGGTCAAAAAAATGAAATCTTTCCAACATTAATTATTACAGTAAAAACAAATGACTCTAAACGACACCGTTCTGTGTTCCCCTGATCCCCACTTGGGCAAATTTTCATTACCTGTTGTAATAATTTCACTGCTCGAACAACTCTGTAGAATAATGTTTTAAGTCTATTAATGATCAATTCAATTCTACGCATCGTTTTTCAAACATGTCAGCCCTTTTTGAGATTCAAACCTCTCTTTCTCTTTTGATAGATTAAACAATGCATTATATTTTTGAGAAATCAGACGTCGATTGGAGTGGAAAACGAAACATTCGGAGTGTGAAAACTTTAAAAAACCAAAGAGAAGTGCTTGGACTTGGGCGGTTACAACCTTACAATCTTATATATAGAAAGACTATGGATTAACACCTCGATATTCAATGAAAGAACTATGAATCAAACAAGGGGAAGTGGGCATTTCATCATACAAGTTATGAGCAAAAAGTGGAAGAATGTAAACAAAAGAAAACCAACCAAGAGATCAGGAAAGGCTCATCCAAACTATTGAAGACATTGATAATCAAGTTCTCATTGGTAACCGATTCAATCTGTGGCCCTGGAAATTGCCCATTAATCAAAATACCCTGAAAAAGAGAAAGCAAGAACACAACCAAAGATTCTTGTATTATACATCTCCAAGCCAAACAAGAAATGGGTACCACATTGATACAGAAATGATACCTGTTGCTTCACTCCAAGAGGCCAAATGTCACCATAGGTGACATTCCATGTATAAAACCTATATGGGTCCTCTCCATTGATGCAGCTCAAGCTCAAAACCAAGAACAAGAAAGTGAATGACCAGAAGAATCCGATCCCTCTCATTCTCTCTTGAAACAGGGCTGCGTGGGAGTGAAGAAATGGAACAAAAGTCCAAGAAATGGGGATTGCGATTGCCCTTTATCTTTGAAAAGCTATGGGGTTAGTACTTAGTCGCTAAGGTTTCTTTTAGGCCATGGAATCTTTGGCTTTGAGCTTTCTTGACTGGCTTTGGATGAAATTGTAGGCTATGTCGGTGAAGGTAAGAAGTGCATCAGAGGGTTCCAAAGGGTATTGGGAATCGAAATTACAATTACAAGCTTATTAGCTATTAAATTGGGTCACCATATTCAGTTGTCAGGTCAATAATTTTTTTCAGCCGTACTGGTTGCAGGAAGGAATTAATTAGCGTGTTAGACAAGGGTTATGATACAGAGGAGGAGGGTGTATGGAAGTCAAGTTGAGGCATAAACAAGATTAAAGGTAATAATGATGTCGTTATGAGTGTTAGAGATAGGCTCGAAGAAGGTCAGGTAGGGCTGTGGGTCATAATCTCAAAAGTTTGAGTTTTGGCGTGAGTGTCGATATGTGGCTTTAGAGTTCAGTCGTATATATGAAATATGAAAGCTTGTCTATTTTACGACCATTTGTCAAAATCATGTCTATGGGGAGGCACAAGTATGAAGACGGTGTTATTGAGAATCAAAACAATGAAATAAGATGCAACATTGCATTTGAAGGACTTTGGTCTAAAGTAGAGACAAGGCTCGAGTAAGGTAAGTATGCTAGAGTCACAAATAAGTGAGCATACATGTAAAAGCAACATGTATGACCAAACAAATCTTAGTTTTCGCATGAGTTAACAAGAACCTCACCTAAGATCCAATAACACGCGAAGCCAGGTGAACAAACATAGTAGTTTGAATTCTTAAAAGTACAATAGTGACAAGGTACAGCGAGTGTGTAAAAACTCAAACCCATCGTTAATAGATATTGTCCACTTTAACTCATTACGTATTGTTTTTTAAAATTTTAACTCGATAGTTTAAATTGAGTATTTACGTTACTCGACACATAGCGGAGTTGAAAAAATAATAGGCACCGACAGCTCGTGGAAAAAGACATACTTAGGACAATAATTGCTTTAGACCATCTCTTCTTCTCTTTCACCACTGGATCTAAACATAACCTAACCACATCAATCCCTATCTTTTTCATCCTTTCAATTATTCCATTTCTAAATTAAATAATAAAAATAAAGCTATCTTCCAAATTTTTTAAATATTTAATTATTAACTTATAATTTTAAAAATTTTAAAATCAAATAAATCCAACCGTTAAATTATATTCTTTTAACTTCATTAATTTAAATTTTTGACATTTTTCTAATTTAAAATTCTAAATTTGTAGAAATCTTCAAAGGTTCCAAGAAGATAAGATAAAGAGATTACTTTATGTTTCTTTTCTTTGGCTTTTTCTTTTATTATGTATGAAATTTGTTCTATATTTTATTACCAATCTTCACTTAGAAGTTAACTTTCTTTTTCGAAAGCTCAGGATTTAATTAGGTTTTTCGTTCATCGATCAATTGTTGGCTTACGATTTTCTTCTAATAATCTAGGGTTGATATCAATTTTAGGTGGCTACTGTAATTTTTATTCGTTGAGCAATAGCGAGTTTCGTAAATTACTAAAGTCAATTTTCGTCGTTGCTCGACGAGTTGGTCTTGTAATAATCAAGCTCTCTTCTGCCTTTGCACTCGTGAGAGAATCTCGAGGATCCAAAAGTATAAGAAAATTTCGATTACAGATAATAAAAAGGCTTCATCTTTTCAATTCAAACAAAAAATTATGACCGACAAGTTTTGTGATATCTCACATTGGTTAGGGAGAACGAAACGCATTTATAAGAGTGTAGAAACCTTTCCCTAGAAGACTCGTAATGGAAAATCCCATAAGAGAAAGCCCAACTTCTCAAACATAAATGTTCTGTTTGTGTTTGTGTTTGTGTTTGGTCAGAGTTACATGTTCAAATGTGTCTGCTTCCATGTTTACCTTCCTAACTTTTGGATCCTTCTATACCTCAAATTCACCGTTAATCGATATTATTTACCTTATAAGTAAGAAATGTTTCATTCCCCTCTTCAATCAATGTGGGATCGCATAGTCCACCCCTTTGGGAGACTTACGTTCTTGTCGGCACACCGTTTGGTGTCTGGTTCTAATACCATTTGTAAGAGCACAAGCCCACCACTATCTCACAATACGCCTTCTAGGAGGCCTAACATCCTCGCTGGCACACCGATCAATGTATGGTTTTTATACCATTTGTAACATTCCAAATCCACTACTAGTAGATATTGTCTGATTTTGTCTGTTACGTATCGTCATCAACCTCACGGTTTTAAAACACGTCTACTAGGAAGAGGTTTCCACATTCTTATAAGACATGTTTTGTTCCCTTCTCCCACCAATGTGGAATCTAACCGTCCACCCTCCTTGTGAGCCATTGTCTCATAGATGGTCTCTTAATTGAAATAGATTTATATTCACAATTTATTGAACTAGATATTCATGGATAACGAACGAAGTGGTGGATAAATGATAGAAAGAAGCGGTCACGGGAGATAAATCCTCCAATGAATTTTTTCCTTTAAAAATATTACATCACAAACACTACAGATGAAAATTTAAACATTTATAGCTGTTAAGAGATAGAGATGTTTTTAAGTCTCGAGCAAGAAATTCGAAATTCAAATCATGTTTTATCAAAATAAGCTAAATTAGTGATTTAATTTATGAAAATATACTAAATAGATATATAAGAAAATTAAGTAGGGACCTCCAAGTGGACGGGTCATCTAAAGGGGTTAGTTGGACTATGACTAGACTGTGTGGGAACCCTTTCACACCCTCCAGACATAACATTCAAAATTAAACCACAACTAGTAGATATTATTCGTTTTGACTCGTTATGTATCACTATCAACCTCACCGTTTTTAAAATTAGGGAGAGGTTTCCACACACTTGCCAGAAATATTTTGTTCCACTCTCCAACCGATATGGAATCTCACACTGAGTTCATCTGAACATAACTGAATTAGTGGATAAAACATCTATTATCATTTCAAATGTCGATAATTTAATCCTTATTTAAGAGTTGTTTAACTAAAAAAACGATAATAATCAATTTATACTCTTATAGCCACGAAATTCTTAGATTTAATAAGTGAGTCAATTGTATAAAAGTTTATGAGCTTAGTTGATACAGTTACCAGCAAAGAAGATGGTAAATTGATTTTTGTCGGTATTCGAGCTAGCTTGTATGTAACACCCCGACTATTTTCATTTTCTCCAACTTTTTATAGACTAAAATAAAACTATAGGAAAAAAAAATTAAATTAAAATAAAGTGAATTAAACTTATAGGGCATTTCATATATATATATATATATATATATATATATATATTTAAACATTGGGCCACGATTATACTTGCTTCGGCCCAATAGTTTGGGGCCGCGTACAACTGAACTAAACCTTCTCCCTCCGACGGCCCATTTTCAAATTTCGGGCCCATCTTCTTTCCTTCGTACTCAATTGCAATACTCGAGATATGTTGCCATTGGATTGTGTCTGGACTCGACCCGACCCGACCCGACCCGACCCATGAACACAGTTAAAAATAAATGTGAGATAAATCAGAGAAAAAAAATGTCTTGGAGATTTGATTTTAAAGGAATCAATTAACTGAAACTAAGATTATAAATTTCAAATAAATGTTACAATCTCGATATTTCTATTTTGATTCATTAATATTAAAGATGTTGAATCTACTTCTAAATCTCGAGATCTTACGAAATAAGTTATAACCTAAATTATCGTTCTCGAACATAAATTTAGAATCAATAACATTTAACGAGAGATGAAAGAATTGAAAGCATAACACACATAATAGTATAAATACAACAAAATCCGTCAATCAAATATTCGATTGATAAGAAGGTTACAACCATCCCTAAGATTACGAGTTTAGCTCACACGTTCAAAGCTTCAACTACAAAACTCAATACAAATTCCATAAGAAAAATATAAATTTAAAAGAAGAGCCTACGTATCTCTACAACTCAAGCTCATCGTTATCTGATATTATCTGTTTTGACCCGTTAGATATCGTCGTCAGCCTCACGTTTTTAAAAAGCATTTGTTAGAGAGAGATTTTCACACCCTTATAAAAAAATATTTTATTTCTCTCTCCAACTGATGTGGGATCTCATAATCATGTATGATCTCATTGTGATGTTCATGATCATGAACTCGAAAATCCATTTTCTTGCCTCAGACTATTTATATAACTGTCTAAATCAAGTATATTTTTATTAATCAAATAATTGATAATAAAAAAATAAAGTATATATGTGATGTCCCACATTGATTGGGAGGAGAACAAACCATCATTTATAAGAGTGTGAAAACCTTCTCCTAGCAGACGTGTTTTAAAGTCTTGAGAGGAAGCCCGAAAAATAAACCCCAAAAAGGACAATATCAGCTAACAGTGGATCTGGGTCATTACAGATGTGTCAGCCTTCTCGCTATTTCTCGAAGGGGGTAGACACGAGGCGGTGTGCTAGTAAGGATATTGGGCCCCAAAGGATGTGGATTTGGGGCGATCTCACACCAATTGTAGGAAGAAAAGAGTGCCAGCAAGGATGTTGGGCCCCCGGAGGGGAAGCCCAAAGAGGAACGACCCAGATCCTGGGTCGTTACAATATAACATTTTATTTAAACGTGATATATTTGATCTACCAGAAAAATCGTTATATTTTAAAATTTATGAATTAAAGAATTAAATATATTAAAGTTTAGGAGCTAAATTGTTACGTCAGGCTATAGTCACATTATATGTTCGAAAAAGTAACAGGAGTTGGAAGGTTTGACTTTGTAAAATTAAATGTATTTGTTTTTTTTTAAATAATTACCATTTATTTTATTATTATTATTTATTATTTTTTTTAAGCTAACACAAAATTTTGACATGTATTTACATACATGCACACTAATTAAAAGAAAAAAAAGAAAAAAAAAAAGAAAAAGGATGAATTATTTGTATACAACGTGTTGAAAAAGAAATCATGCATACATAAAAACACTGAAAATTTGCAAATTTTAATTTTAATTAATTAATTCAGTCAAAAACCAATATAGAGTGAAATGGAAAGACATTTACACTAATGAAAAGTATTTTTTTTATATTAAAAAAATATATTAATGGAAAAAGAAGTAAAATTCCCGGAATAGAATACGCGAAAAGAAACAAGCGTTACGGAATTTACCTCACATTTCCCGGGCGACTGTTAGATATATATAAAAGAAAGTTTAAAAAATACAGTTTGGCATTGTATCTACTAATCATCAAAGTGTCAATCGTTCTCGAACTCGCTAGTTCCGATAAAGCCTTCATTGAAGAAAAAGGAAAAAGCATTCCTCTCTAAAATGAAATAAGTTTCTCGCTGCACCGAGACTTTACTCGTTTTTGTAAATATCCATTAAAAAAAAGAAATAAATTATTTAAATTCATTAAAAATTATTAAAATTGGTTAAAACCAACCATGGTAAAGATAATAATCTCACAATATTTAGCCGTTGTCCAGTGAAATTCTGGGTAAATATTATGCAAATAACCCTGGTAATTTTTATGTAGGTAAATTAGAAGTGTGAAGTACCGAAAATACCCTTGAGAAAATATAAAAGGAAAGGAGAAAAGATTAGGGGTAGAAATGGAAAGGGGAAATGCGTTGGACGGACGTAGCATTTAGCATGCAATCCGGAGCGAAATGGCAGCTCCGCCCTCTAAATAAAGCCGCGCTTCATGTCTCCTCATTTCTCAGTAACTCATTTTTTTTTTCTTTCTCTCTTAATAAAAAAAAATTAAATTAAAAAAAAAAAATCTTTTTTGTTCTTGTTCTTGGTGGGAACTCTCTCTGAAACAATCAGAATTTAAAAGCCTTGAAATTCTTGAATTTTTATTTTAAAAATTTTGTGGGTTTTGGGCGGTGAGGATTAATTGAAATCCCTAGTTGAAAATCAAATTATATTAAGGGCTTTTTGAATCGACGGTCCACGAAGAAACTTTGTGGGCTGGTTGAAGAAATCGTTTTACAAAAAATTTAATTATGGTTGAGAGCAACGGTGAGAGGAGGAGAAGCCATGGAGATCATCAAGAAGATGGTGGCGCCGCCGAGCCGGCGTTGAAGAAAGGGCCGTGGACGACGGCGGAAGATGGGATCTTGATAGAGTATGTGCAGAAACATGGTGAAGGAAATTGGAACGCGGTTCAGAAACACACCGGATTGCCTCGGTGTGGGAAGAGTTGCAGGCTCCGTTGGGCTAACCATTTGCGGCCTAACCTTAAAAAAGGCTCGTTTTCTCAAGAGGAAGAACGGCTCATCATTGAACTTCATGCTAAGCTTGGCAATAAATGGGCTCGCATGGCTGCTCAGGTTCCTCCCCTTCCTCATAACACTATTTTTATTACGAATTATTCAAATAAATTCATGAATTTCTTTGTTTTTTCATATTGTTCTTGAAATATTTTGAAAATGTTAACTTTGATCTTGTGTTCTTATTGTTTGGCTCTGTTTTTTTGTTTTTAGTTACCGGGAAGAACAGACAATGAAATTAAGAATTATTGGAACACACGGATGAAGCGTCGCCAAAGAGCTGGATTGCCTCTTTATCCTCTTGATCTTCAACAGGAAGCGACGGCGTTTCAACTCCGGCAACACCAAAATCACCGCTCTTCTACCACCACCACCAACGTCTCTGTTCTGCGTCAGAAACTTGAATTCGACAACAATATTCAAAATTCTGTGTCGGTTTTCAATTTTTCTTCAACGATGAACAATCCCCAGAAGAATTTCAGTGATGGGTCGTTGTTTTACGCAGCACCCACCAACCAATTCAAGTTCTTTACTGAAAACAACGGCGGCGGTGGATTTCTGCCGCTTTCCCCTGTTTCGCCGTTTCATCAAATTGGGCAACAACAGGTTAATAATAATTCCCTTTCGTCGTTGCCGCTGCCGGTGCTGCCGTCGCAAGCCGCCTTGCAATTGAGTTATGGAGGTTATATGGGTAATTATAATTCGGGTCTGAATTCGATGTTTCTTGGAGCTCCGTTCAATCACCTTATTCCGGGATTGGAAACAGAGCTTCCTTCAATCCAAACGCCGCCACATTCCACTACTCCGGCCTCTTCCGGAACCAGTGGCGGCGATGGGATCATGGCGGGGGCTAACAGTGGATTGCTTGACGTTGTATTGCTAGAGGCGGAAGCTCGATCTCGTAATGGGAAGCAGACGAAGGAAGAAAGCTCCTCCGGCGGCCAGTTGAAACGGACGGCGGAGCAAGGATCTACAGAGGAACAAGGTGCTAATAATTTAAATGTACGATCAGTTGAAGGAAGCAGTGGCGGAGACGCCGCCGTCCCCGCCGGAGAAAATCATTCCGACGGTTTCAGCTTCACCCATTCGTCATCTCGTAAGTTCTTCTAAGCTTTTACGTGATGGTTGCTTATTTAATTTCCAATGTTTGCTTTATTTATTTATTTATTTATTATTATTTTAATTGATATTATTATTTAATTAACCTATTCAATTTAATGAGCAATATTAACTTGTAAAAATTTGTTAAAAGAAATCATATTTTATTGTACGGAAGTAATAATAATTTAATGATATATTCTCATTTTTTTGGACAATTTTTCCCAGTTTTTTACAAAATAACCTAATTGGAATTTGTTTTAATGTATTAAAATTAAAAGAAAAATTTTGAAAAAATTACCAAATTTAGAAATTATTTTTTAAAAATAAAAGACCATTTTTCGTGTATTTAGACATTTTGTTCTAGCTAAATGGAAAAACATTTAATTTTTAATTATTCTATTTATTTTACAAAAGAAATATATCTATATTTATATATATTTTTTTGTCCATAATTTTAAATTTCAAAATATTATATTTTTACTTAATTTTAGTTTAGTCCATAGATTTTAAATTTTTTTTTTTTTTGTTTATATTTAATCCTAAATTTTAAGAATTTACACTTTTACCCTTGAGTAAACTATGCTCAAAATGTAAGAAAATCGGATAAATGCCCTATTCAAGGAGTGAATTGGTATTATTTAAATAACATTTTAAAACATGTACAGGAAAGAGACAAAGAATGGAACCTCTAGAGGAGATGGATTCAATGGTTGACGATGACCTAATGAGCCTACTCAGCAACTTTCAAACGGAAATGCCAGTGCCGGAGTTGTACCCCAATAACAGCAACGATGACCTTGGCATCAACACACACGACGACTTGTCATTGCGTGAAACGAATGGCAACCGTGACGAAGACGAGCAACGGCCAAATGTAGGAACGACATCGACGGTAGCATCACCCGTCCTCGAATGGAGCCTTGGCTCATCTTGTTGGAACAACATGCCGAGTATTTGCTAAAAGAATAAAAAGTTATGAACTTTGTGTGTGAGGTTCATGCTAGGGTTGGGATGATGGACCTCACTTGGTTTCACTTGGTTGCTTTTTGTGTTCAATCTTTAGTTTGAAGGTGTTGTGTTCATTAGGTAGTTTATAAATATCAACAAAAAAAATAAAAAATAAAAAAGAATTGAACTTGCTCGGCTTGTTGTTATAAACATAGTTTCAATTTACGAAAAATACAACTGATAATACCTAAACCCTGAACTCGTAAAATATGATAAAAGAACGAGCGTTTAAAAACGTGTTTATCCATTGATTTCGAGCATTTATGTAACGGCCCAGATACACCACTAGAATATATTGTCCTTTTTGGGCTTTCCTTTCAGGCTTGTTCTCAAGGCTTTAAAACACGTCTACTAGGTAGGTGAAGGTTTTCGCACCCTTATAAATGGTGGTTTGTTCTCCTCCCCAATTTGTCCTTTTTGGGCTTTCCCTTTCAAACTTGCCCTCGAGATTTTAAAACGTGTCTGATAGGGGAAGGCTTTCACGCCCTTCTAAATTGTGATTTGTTATCCTCCCCAACCAATTTGGAACATCACAATCTAAACGTTTTTTTTTTAATTATTGAATTGAATCATCACTCGAACGTTTTTGTATAATTTGTGAATCCTAAATTTGACCTCGTTTTATAAATTCATTTTTCTCTTTTTTTAATTATAAAAAGGGTGAGGGTCAAATTTATAAGTAATAATTAATGAGTTTGGATTGCTTATTAATTTTGGAGTCACCACCCTCACTAAAGGCCACAAAAAATGAAACCCTAATAGGAGAAAAGGGTGAGAACTATTTTGGAGGTGTGTGAATGGTCAATGAACACTCATGCATTTTGCTTTTTGGAGAATACTCTCATTCAATACATGTTATCCCGGTTTTATAATCTTACCTCAATCTCGAACACAGTGACGAGTACCTTAAATTTCGTACATTTGTAATGCTTCATTTAAGGTTGTCTAACCCTAAAAGAATCGATATCAATCGTACTAAACTCGATAGGAAGAAATGAACCGAATGTAGAATCACGAAATGGATCAGGTATATGTTCATCTATTTCTCGGTCTCTGTTGTGTGTTTTTATACTGGTTTTCTACTTCTAAGCTCGATGCTCATTTTAAACATGCTTTGTTAAATACTGAAACATCACTTCATTGAAGATTATGTGTGATATCCCACTTTGGTTGAGGAGAAGAACAAAACATCCTTTATAAGGGTGTGAAAACTTTTCTGTAGCAGATGCGTTTTAAAGTCTTGAGAGAAAGCACGAAAGGAAAAACCTAAAAAGGACAATATCTGTTATTAATGAACTTGGGTTGTTACATTTATGTCTTTGATTGTACATCCATTGTTTACTCATGCATTAACCTTGTGACCCCTTAGCTCGACCTCGTTAGCAACTTAAGCTTCTTTCAATTACATATCTACTTAGCCTACCATTTTAATACGAAACTATCATAAAACAAATCCTTAGAATAATAGATCCCGAGTTTAAATTTTTACCATATTTACCATATTTTTTGTACTTTGAAATTGTTATAATTTAATTTCATTGTAAAAAAACATTAAAAATTAAATATTGTTATTTATTATTTAATTTTTGGGCCACATTCTATTGCTTAATGGGCTCCGGCCCATTGGATGCTAACGCTCATCATTACACCGAGTCCAGTGAGTAGTTGGGCCTTAAAGCCCAATGTCAAAAATTGAATTTATTACATTATTATTAAAACAATATTGAAGGTTTTTATTTTTAACTCAAACATGTGGCAAGGGGTTTGAAGAATGTGATAACTTTGACCCGTTGACCATATTCATATTTTTTTAAATATATTAGGGTTTAAAATATATATTTATTTTTAAAAAAAAATTGCAATATTTTATATAACGTTTCAAAATTATCATTGGAGTAGAAAATCTGTTAGATTATTTGAATAAAAACTTAGCATAACGAAACATTTTTTTTTTTCATGTTTAATTGAATCAAGTGTTTCCGTTACCGTCATGTCATTCTAGGTCACCATCATATCGTTTATCAAACATTCTAATAGATTTCTGTATGTGAGATCCCATATTAGTTTGAGAGGGAAACGAAAAATTCTTTAGAAGAGTGCGAAAATCTCTTCTTAGCAGACACGTTTTAAAACTATGAGGTTTACGACGATATGCAACGAAACAAAGCTAACAATATCTATTAGCGAGAATAGAAAATTGAAATTAGCCTAGAATGAGTTAAAGTATCGAGTATCGTAAGAGGATGATAGACCTATCGAATGATTAACGAATCCCAATGCATAACTATTTTAATATCAAAATATGATTCGAACCTTTATTTGTCTACTTGATCCATTTTAACTAAACATAGAAAACATTAATGGAAGAACATAACCCTAAACCCTAAATTCTAAACTGAACTCGTAAATCATGTCTCATCTCAAAACCCTAAAAGACCCTAAACCCTAAATTCTAAACTGAACTAGTAAACAATATCTCATCTCAAAACCCTAAAAGACCCTAAACCCTAAATTTTCTCTTCCCATCATCTTTCAAAACCCTAAAAAAAAAACCCTTAAACCCTAAATTCTCTCTCTTCCCATCATCTTTCAAAACCCTAAAAGAACCCTTAAAACCCTAAATTCTCTCTCTTCCCATCATCTTTCAAAACCCTAAAAAAACCCTTAAACCCTAAATTCTCTCTCTTCCCATCATCTTTCAAAACCCTAAAAGAACCCTTAAACCCTAAAATCTCTCTCCTCCTATTTCATTGTTTCTCTCTCTTCCCATCATCTTTTAAATGCAGCATTAAAAGTTGCAGATTTTGTTTCTTGTGGCCTTAAATTTACCCAACCTCCCTCCTACTTGGTTGTTATGCTCTTTTAATGCTTCCATTTCCCTTCTCAACTCTCTTAAAATATATGCTTCCCAAACCCTTTTTCTCATGCATCATTTTAGTGTCATACCTCAAGCTTTTCTTAACTCCCTCGAAAAAACATGGGTTTGGTTGGTCGGGCGAGGAAAAGAAGAAGGAAGGTGCCCATTGTTGATACTTTTCTAACGTTTTTTTTTTTATTTTTAATTTATTTAATCATCGTTTTTGTTCGATAAATGTTGAATTGTGGTATGGTAGCATCTCGAAGCCATTAGATTTCAATTTTCAATTTTTTTTTCTCTTGAATTATTGAGTTTGTTCATAAAATTTAATTAAATTTTAGATTTTAAATAACAAAAATAATTATTTAAAATTAGGTCCCCTAATTTTCTTCTCTCTTTTTTAGGGCTCTGTTGGACAACAAGATACCATAAGTAAAGTTCGATTTTTTTAAGCTGTTCTATTTAGAAAACTCAATTTTGAAATTTTTTATTTTTTTTGTTTAGTGGTGTTTGATATTTTTTCTTACGATTTTGATTCGAACGGGATATTGGTGCGGTTCAATAAGAAGATAATGTCCAAAAAAATTATTGGGTTTTGTTTTTTGATTGAGCCGTGCCAATATCACGTGAAGTTTCACGGTAAAATAATTTCAATATTTGATCTAAAAATAAGTCAAATTTTGTCGTATTAATTCTTTTATAATACTCGTTTTTGTTTTTTTTTTCAAATATTTTATACTCCCAATTATTATTTGTTTTTGGTTATTTATGTCCGTACAGATCTGATTAATTGTATCATTAGCATAATCATTAATGGTAATCATCATATAGATTATTATTTAAAGACATTATAATTAGTTGAGAAAATAATTAATCAGCAACTAACCATTCTTTATATTATTCAAATGAGAAGAATTGTGTTTATTATGAGGAGCTTGAATTCCTTGAAGCCCTTCTCTTGCTCTCTCAGCTGCCTACTTTTGGCTAATACTCTCCACAGCCTCGCATGGAGTTGCCTTGCTCACCGATCTCTATCTCTGTATAATGATAATACGATACAGATTCGGTACAAAAACCGGACTTGCAAGCCCGTAGACCTTCACGAGTTTGGAACGAGTCGAGATGAAGCTAGCACTGTGCCGTTTTAAAAGGTGGCACTCCACAATGTCTTCTCGCCTTCTCCGCATCGACGATGGACTTCCTTAATCTTCTCGGCCGACTTGCAAATTCCGCTGCAGCTCCAGTCAAATGAAGCGACGCAGACGTTGCCTGCTTGTGCCTTCCATTCACAATCTGTATCAAACAACAAGCTTAACCAGAGCTTTGCATGTAACGGCTTAAGTCTACCATTAGCAGATATCCTCTTTTTTGGACTTTTCCTTTCGTTCTCCTCCCCAACCGATGTGAGAGAGAAAACTTAACTAGTGTCTATTATCAGACAAGAAACGTGGCGTGTTTTAACAAAGATGGTGACACAGGAAAATGGGAATTACCGGGCGGAGTTCCACAACAAAGTCTCCGATCGTCGATGTGCTCCACGTCAAGTCCAATAAACCAAGATCCTAAGGAAACATCTTCATTGGCATACTTGTGCAGAACATGCCTGAAAATTCCACAATTATGAAGCAATGCAAATGTGTGATAACTTGTGAGGTATGAATTCCGAGATCAATGGTTTCGAGAAAAAAAACGGATAGAAGCTTACTGGTGTATCGATATGTAGGTCGCTAAATCCTTCGAGATGGCATATAACTGGCCTGTTGCGTGGCGGAAATACTTGTTACCTGCCTCACCAAACTTCCAGTGTTCGGGTTCGTGGTATCGAACTCCCCTACAATACATAGTTTGGTTAAGAAACCAGAGGTTTCCCAGTTTTGACATTCACCTAGAGAAAATGGTAAGGTTAAAGCTTACTTTTGTGACAGGACAGGTCCTGATTTCATGCATCCGATGTAAACCCGTCGTTTCAATCGATGTCTGACTAGCGTTTCTCCTAGTGTGGCTGAGACCAAATTCAAGAACATGAGCTTATTGTATCATGACAATCAATGTAGATATCTATCAGGAGATCGTGTATAAAAAACGATATCAATTCCTATTCTCAAATATAAGTCACTGATATAGATCCGTTCTTATAACTAAACTCGTGTTCATCAGTTTGACAAACAATCTGTTTGCTTACCTATATTTACGTGAACATCGTCGTCAACCTTGACGTAGAAATCTGCATCCCACGTTGCAACGGCTGTTGCAAAATATGTCTTTGTCTTGGCAGACAATTCGAGGTACCCTTCAACATGGTCCTGTGTAGATAAACATGGCACGGTTGAAGATCATGTCGTTTTAAGAAAGCGTCACGAGCAATAGAAATGAAAACTTTGTATTCGAAACACGAATCGCTACCAGTCTAAGAAAATCTCCATGCTTTTTGTCCTCTACTTCAATAGCTCTGTCAAGGATACCTCCGGATGTGGCACTGCCCATCAAGAACAAGAAGCTCATTCAAGATTTTTCGACATATTATGTGACATCCCACGTCAGTTAGAGAGAGGAACGAAGCATTCCTTGTAAAGGTGTGGAAACCTCTCCCTAGCAGACACGTTTTAAAACCTTGAGGGGAAGCCTAGAAGGGAAAGCCCAAAAAAGACAATATATGCCAACGGTGGGCTTGGGCGGTTATAAATAGTATCAGAGTCAGACACCGGGCGGTTGCCAGCGAGGACGCCGGGCCCCCAAGGGGGTGGATTATGAGATCTCACATCAGTTAGAGAAGAGAATGAAGCATTCCTTGTAAGGGTGTGAAAACCTCTAGAAGAAGCGTTTTAGAACCTTAAGGGGAAGCCGAGGAGGGAAAGCTCAAAAAGAACAATATTTGCTAGTGATGGGCTTGGTCTGTTACATATTATAACAAGAAAGTCCATGGATCTTGTTGCTAATAGTTCTTGTCGAACGATAAAAAGTTACGTACCTGTGGCCGATGACAAAGCGAATTATAATCCCCTTCTCCTCCTCTAGTTTCTTCCTCTTCTCGCCTATTTTTCAAGTTTTCAACCACTCTCATCAGCACATAATTTAAACAAGAAGAAATGAAAGCACAAACCGAAACATAACTGTCACACTCTACTTAACCTTGAGGTATCCACGTTGCACGAACCGAATCTCGTCTTTTCCTGCTACTAAAAGCAGTATTGATCCCTACAACCATCAAGTATCTTCTTCTCCCAGATGACGGGGAACTCTTTAGATCGTCCGATGAAGGCGAACCACTCTGTATTGACTCTTGTGCTGCCTTGGCAGCAGCCAATTCCATCTCCAAATTTGAAATGGTCTTATCTAATGTTCTGCATAGCACAGCCACATCAAAGTAAACTTGCAGTTTGGATTCTTCGTGATAAATTCGTAAAACAGTTTCGGGTTTCACTCACTGTATGGCATTGTGAGTCTTAAAGACTTCTCCGAAAATGTTTCTCGACACACGCTTAACGTCCTTCTCATCCAACTATAAGACAAACAAATCAGAAAACTAAGATAAAGATAACAGGGTAAAGAAAAGTAGCAATGTAGCTACTTTCTTGGACATGTATGCTTTGGACAAGTTACATGAACAGCATCGAATATGCTTACCGATTTCGAATCGCAACCTTCTGAAACTAACTTCAACTTTTTGGCTTCGTACGCCGTAGTTTGAGCGATTCCTCTAGGTTCAGGAACAGTCCACATCCTACAAGCAAGTTTAATATGATCTTCAGTTAAATTCAAGCATATCTCTGTAATGTTGTGCTCGGTGCCCAATGTCCTCACTTATATACAGCCTAGTGTCTGGCTCTAATACCATTTGTAACAGTCCAAGCCCACCACGGGCAGATATTGTCCCCTTTGGGCTTTTCCTTTCGATCTTCCTACGTGTTTACTAAGGAGAGGTTTTCACACCCTTATAAAGAATGCTTTGTTCCCTCCCCAACTGTTGTGGAGTCTCACAATCCACCCCCTTCAAGGCCCAACGCCCTCGCTATCTCTCGTTCCTCTCTCCAATCGATATGGGATCTCTAGTTCTTAAACAAAACATTAGAATAGTCTTCCCGACAGAGCTGAATCTTAAACTCCTCGAAATAGACCTCTTTTTTACCATAATTCACGGTGAAAGAAGAACACTCAAGCTTACAATGAAATCAAATCCATAAATCTAAACCATCATAGTATTCAGCCAAGTGTCAGATTGAAGATGGGATATGGATGGCAGATCTTATTGCATTGAAGAAATGGTGAAAAGAAACAGTTCTTCAACCTCCAGACCAAAGAAGAAGAGCTATAAATACTGTCGGCTGCATTTAATAAACGAAAACCAGCAAAGTTTCCCCAATAAACAAAGACCCAAAACCAAAAAAATTGGTCAAATTAGAACCCAAAACCTGGAAGTCCAAGAAAAACATCTCAATCATCGATCAAACTCCACAACGATAAGAACTCAGCTAATTTAACAAAAACCCATCAAATTTTCAACGTTCCTCAGCAAAAATTCACAGAAACGAACCTGTTTGTGTAGATCATCCCCAAACAGAAGCTGCTCAGGCAAAGAAAAACAGCCCATCTCTGAGGAACAACGCTCCGTGAAGATTGCTCGGCCTTAATTTTCCAGGACATCTTCAACCCAGATTCTATTTATGCTGTCGCTAACAACTTCTCCCAAGAAAACCCCATAAACATTCGATCAAGTTCAGACCCAGATGAAAAAATGAACAAAAATTCAAAATAAAACAGCTGGGAGATCGAGAAATTTTGAAATTAGGTATAGAATAATGTTTGAATCAGAGGATTAAGAACAGAGAAGAGTATGAAACAAATTTGTCTGTGTAGAAGATCTCTGGAAGCTGAAGGGAAATGAAAAAGCAGAGAAGGAAGAGGGGAAGACCGACTAACTAACCTCTCGCTTAATCCAAACCACCAAACTGTTACATAAAGTGACATAAATACCCTTTGTCAGACCTTCATACAAAAAAGTTTAGCAGAGAGAGGTGGCTGAGTTCCCATCAAGCATGGTGCCATGGACATCATGTGGTGCCATGTTCCTTTCAATTTATATGCATTTTTTCTCACTAATTTCATCAAAATAAAATTTAAAGAAAGATTAAATTTTTAGTATGAAAGGTTATACATTGGCTCGTGATACAAATTCATTTTCCATTTCCAAAATCGACCTCCGTTTTTGGGATCTCATTGGTGGAAATATAGGTCGATATGTCTCCATCTTGTGTTTTAACGACGGGGTAAGACATTCAAGCTACTTGCACTTGTCTCGTCCAATCACTTAGCAACTTTTTCTAAGAGACAGGAATGTAAATAGAAAGTACCAGCAAAAAAAAATGTTTTTTTAACTTTTAAAAGTCTCAAGTTCATGTTGTGATACAAGTATTTAAACTTGCATTTAAAGTTGAAAAATTCAGATAGTATTTGATGGATTGCGTTGTGAGACCGTAATAATTTGAGTTGTGACTTTTAATACAGTTAAACTTCGAGTCTACTCTTTCGACTATTCCATTAATTTAAGATGGTTGTTTGAGATCCCGAACATTGGCAAACAATTATTTTAAATGTATATAGTAAATAGAAATGTATTATTGATACTATAATGTATTTATAATTACTTTTTTAATATTAATTTATATAAATATATATAGAGGATATTTTTAAATTATATTATTTTATCATATAGTCAAAGAATAAATCAAAGTCAAACTCGAAACCTTTATTGTATATAAGTAGATAAAGATAAAGGGGGAAAAGCAAGCAAAAGGCAAAGATTGACCAACAAAATAGATATAAATTCTTTTTCCAAAATAATAAAAAAAAATTATTAAAAAGATGACATTTTTAAATTTTAAAAATTTATTAGATATAAAATTATTCTTTTCACTCTTTTTTATTATCTACTTTTCATATATTTTTTTAATTTTAAATTAGGTTTTGAAAATTAAATAATTTTTTTTTAAACATATATGAAATCATATATAAAATATATATATATATATATATATATATATATATAAAAATCAAATAGCTCTTTAAAGAAGCTGAAATTGAAATTTAACAAACTAAAATAAAATTGCACGTGAAAGAAGGACTGTGATTGGATGGAAGTAAAAAAAGCCTCCATGGACAATGAATCACGTGACATGTCGTCCCAATGTCACGTGGATGTTGCCAAAGTTTTCTCTAGAGATCTACCCCATCTTATAAGACACGTGTTGTTATTCCAATAAATTATACTAGCCTCACCATATTTTTTTTTTCTAAATTAAAAAATTTAGTATTATAATTAATAAACATTTTAATACCACATTTTAAAAAAATCTTATAAACTTGTTTAATAATATTCCTTCAAACTTTTATAGGTAATATTTTACTCATCCACATTGTTTAAGTTATTATTTATTTAATATCTAATAATTTTTTGCTTTGAATATTTTATAAAATTTGAAATAATTAATTTTATTTATTTATCCATATTTTCTATAATTTAGTTTTTTTTTTTTTTTACCTTCAAAATTACTTTGCATTAAAAAAAATACTTATGTAATAATCTCGTCAGGAATTATTGGTTTTATATTTTTAATAATTACTAATAATTTTTTAAAAAATAAGATAAATATGATATGGAGATCTTCCTAGTTTAGTGTCAAAGCATTGAAACTAGACATGGTGGAGTGAGCTTAGTACAAATCCCAAAAATCATCAAACCCAATAGTCTGATTCAAAATAATAGGAAAATTAGTACAATATTTGGTAAGTTAATTTTAAAAATTTATAATTTCTATCTTTAAACTTAGTGCCACAAATTTAAAATTCTTTTAGCATAGTCGGCTCTAACAAGAGGCACACATGACGAGCTAGTAGATCCTATAATAACGTCATTGTATCTGAATTATGAAGGCTCTCAGATATATAGATAATTGAATGTGCTCCTTAGCACGTGACCCCTGAATATGGATCCTATGAAGCTTAACATATGGACTAAACTCTATTTTTCTTGGAATTATATCAACCCAACTTGTAATTTAATCTAAAAATTACAAATATAACACAATTTTAAACTCAAAAAATAAAAAATACACATCAACCTATCTTTACATCTATCAATAATATGTTACAAACTCAATCACCAATGATACACTAAAGTAATTTAAAAAAAAATTACGAAAACGACGGTGGACTTTAATGCCATGAAAATGCAGTGAAATCATATGAAAATCTATCATAAAATACGTAATTTATGTCAATTGAGATATATTCATGAAAAAAAATGTAATACGATCATATATGTATGCAAAAAGAAACTTATAGTTTCAATACCTATGCCATGAAAATACAAGTAAAATTATATGGAAACTTTAATGCCATGAAAATGCGAAGTAAAATCATATCTAAACTTTAACTAGTCTCTAATAGGTGAAACTTAGAAGAGAACTAAGGTTGGCGTTCTAATCTTCCAGCACCACACCACTCTGATTGCTACGTTTTCTCTGCATACCCACCAGCTTGTTGCACAGCCTTTTACCCATCGAGCTGCCCATTCTTATTCTAAGCCTCTGCCTTTTTCACTTTTTTCTGGCTCCTATGGATGGTAGAAATCTTGTCAGTTTGAAATAACATAACAAATAGAGAAGAATCTCTTGCAAAGTTTTTAAACCAACACAGATTGCATTGTCGTTGTTTACAGCCTGCAGAGAGATCACTGTTTCAAGCACTTACCCTGAAAAGACATCTGATAGCCAAATACAACAAACTACACTGTTCAAGGACACCCTCCATTCATTTTTGCATATTCTTCACCAATTTCAACTAGAATTTGTATGGTTTGGTTTTCCAATTCTATCTAAGCATCCAACTAGAGATAGATATTGGTTTAATTCTATTTCAATCGTTCAAACTATAGAACTTTAACGGTTAGTGTAATAATCCAAGTCCACCGCTAGTAGATATTGTCTTCTTTGGGTTTTTCCTTTAAAAGCTTCCCCTAAAGGTTTTAAAACGTTTCTGCTAGAGAGAAGTTTCCACACCCTTAAAAAAAATACTTTGTTGCCCTTTCCCATCGGTGTGGAATCTCATAATTCACCCCCTTCGTACTCAGCATCCTTGCTAGCATTCGTTTCGTCTCTCAGATCAATGTATAGTTCTTAAGCTATAGTTTGGATTTGATCATAACAGTCTTATGTTCAACTCGTTTCCTCTCTCAGATCAATCGTCTTATGTTCTAACAGTCTTATGTATAGTTCTTAAGCATCTTTGTTGGCACTCGTAAAGAGTTGGATTTGAACACAGTCTTATGTTCAACTGTTCGTCGTAACAAATTTATAGTTCTTAAGCTAGCTAATATGATTAAACTCTTAATAATGATGATTTCAAATGTTTGTTAATCCAATTAAGAAGAGGAATGGGCAGCCAAGTTGTTTTGGAAATGATATCTAATGAGGGGGTTAAGAAAAATGATGGGTTCTTCCACCATTTCTTTTAGTTGCTTTACCAAGCAAACATCTCGTCCTTTTTTTGGGATTTATTTGATTTACTTTCAATAACATCCACTAGTTTTTTGTCCTTTTGTAGGGTATGCTTCTTAAAACTCTAGAATAAAGGGTGAATTTATTGAATCAATCAAATTTGGACCCATTTGGTTTATGATTGAAAGAGACTTTAAATTAAGGAAATTTCCTTTTTCCTCTATGAGTCCAATGGTATGATGTGTGTGGTGTGTGGATCATATCATTACAAGCTGTATTATGTTCAAGTTAAAAAATATGTTTTATACGTTAAAATTATTGACTATTTATTTATATTAGAATTCGAGATGTTTAGAGATACTATTCAAGATCTTAGATTCACTTTCCGAAAGAAAATTTAAATTTTATTTTTTATTTTTGAAAATTAAGCTTATAAACATTACTTACCCCTCTGAATTTTTTATTTTTTTATTTTGTAATTTATTTTTATGCTTATTTTCAAAATTCAGAGAAAAAATTATCTTGGTTTTGCTGCTTTTAGAATTTAGTTTAAAATTAAAATATTTTTAAAATATTTTGTTAAACAATTGAAACATTTGTAAAGAAGAAAAAAAAACACCCAAACAATTTTTAAACTGTTCGTTATAACAAAAGTCATAAAAAATTAATATTGACTCGTAAGTCGAAATTAGTATAAGAAATCAACATCAGCTCCAAAACGTCAAACCTATTTGTTATGTAGGTTTTGTTAGCTCCACCTAGGTAGTTTGTTCATATGAAGCTAGAAGTTGAATAAAGGCAATGGATAAGTTTGTACAAAGTCCTAAAGATGGAAAACCTAAAGAGTAGAATAATGATCTATGAAAGGCAATGATAATGATGATGGGTTTTGAGGGCATAAATATGTATGGAACAAAACAGGAGGGAGTGGGTCACAAGCCACGAGCGTAGGCCCCAAAGACAGAGCCAAGGCAGCAAACGCCATTTCCATCTACATCCACTCACCATTACAACCGACAGCCATGAGGCTTCCTTCCTTCCTTCCTTCCTCTAGCCCTCACCCTTTCCATCTCATACTATCTTATAATCATACCATTTCTAAAGTCTTCTAAATCCTAAGACTTTGGAATGGGTCAGATGGCTACATGTGGGAGTGGGTGGCTCACCTAACATGATACCTATATCTATGCTCTCTTCTTCAAAAACATGCCAACAATAATTTGAATGATAGACATGTAACAATTGGGAAACATTTATAAATGTAGGTAAACATAAATAACAAGTTACACTATTTAATTCTTTTTTATTTTATTAATATTACTATTGAAAAGAGAAAACAGGAAACAAAAAGCATGGACAATGAGAGGCAAAAAAAAAAAAAAAAATGAAAATAGTAATAAAGTGGGTTTAAAAGTATAGATTTGGTTCATGAGAGACTATAAAAAAAACAATATTCATAGACCCAAAACCTGACCTCAAACTCATTCTTTTTTTTATTTCTTCTTTTGGTCTTCAATTTTTATCTATATTGCAATTTGGTCCCATTGACTTTAACATTAGACAAAAAAAAAAAAAAAAAAAAAAAAAAAAAAAAAAAAAAAAAAAAAAAAAAAAAAAAAAAAAAAAAA